AAAGGAGAATGCATTGGATGGCTCGGTGAAAAATGTGTGTACCCGAGAACCAAGGAGAAATGGGTTTTCGGGATATCCATTGTTTCAATTTGGCTATGCCGGCTAAACAGGCTTGGCGTCTTATCTAGAATCCGGATTTTCTATGTGCTACTATTTTGAGAGTCAAATACTATCCTGACGTTGACTTGTTGAACATTGACCTGAAGAAGGGTTCTTCCTTCACCTGGTAAAGTATTATGGCGGGTGTGAGCTCCCTAAAGCGTGGTCATATTTGGCAAGTGGAAAATGGACAGAATATTGACATTTGGGAGAACGCCTGGATTCCAAATTGTGCAAACCGTAAAATTGTTACCCCAAGGGATGCCAGTTGTTACGGAAGGTAACAAATTTGATTGATCCAATCCTAAATAGTTGGGATGAAGATCTTCTTAGACAGACTCTATGGCCTATTGATGTTTATGAAAAAAATATGAGACCAGGTCTCACGGGTAGCAGGTGAGACTCATCCTGATGGATGACACGTGGCATTCACAAATCACAAAGCATCTAATCTCCCCCACTGAAATCAGGATGGGTCTCACCTGCTAACCCGTGAGACCTCGTCTCATAAAATTCTTTTCCTTCTACGTAACATGATATGCTAGATTTCGTAGCTTGGAATATCACAAAAAATGAGATCTTTACGGTTCGGTCTGCTTATTTTGTTGAATGAGACCACCAATATGGGAACAAGTTACGACATACCAATGGGATGGGACGTACCACGGTCAATTCTATTTGGGGGAGGATTTGGAAACTTGCTTGTCCGGCAAAGGTTAAAATATTTATTTGGCGTACACTTCACGGCACTCTTCCGTGTCATGTTAAGTTAGCTAATAGACATGTGAAAGTCTCGCCTGAGTGTCCTGCCTGCTCATCTGGGCCAGAAGACACAAAACATCTGCTGTTCCTATGTGACAGAGCAAAAAAAGTCTAGAGAAGACTAGGGATGGAAGATATTATCAACAGAACTTGTTAAATAGACTATGCGGGTGAGGCAGTCTTGGAATATTTACTTACATTAACAGATCAGGAACTATGTATTATGGGCACTCGAAATGTGCGTGACATGATTACCATATCAGCCTGGTACTTGTGGTGGGAAATGCACAAATTGGTACACAATGAGACTACTCAGAATGCACAACAGATATCCATGGGGATACGCGCTCTCACTGATAAATTTGTTAATGCCTCCTTGCCTAAGGCTTCCATGAAAAGAGGAGGATGGTTAGCCCCCCGACGGGATTTGTTAAACTTAACGTTGATGATTCTTTTGACCACGACCTTCTCAGGGGTATGATCGGGGCGGTCTTAAGAGATGATAAAGGTAGGTTCATCGGTGGGGGAAATGGTAAGAATGACTGGTGTGCAGATGTCCTGATGGCTGAAGCTTTGGCATTAAAATTCGGCCTATCACTTGCGCAAAGGACGGGTTATAATCGCATAAATAATTATTAACTCAGATAATATGGAGGTGATCGAGACCATGAACGAAGCAGGACGATCGTCGGGGGCATCAGCTGCAATTTTTTACGACTGTTTTCACTTAGCTTGCGGTTTTCCTATTTCTAGATTCGAGCATTGTAATAGAGAAGCAAATAAAGTTGCTCATGAACTTGCCAAGTTGGCTAGATTTTCCTTCATTTTTGATTGGCTGGAGGAACCACATAATACAATTGTACCAATCCTCATAAACGATGTAATGATTATTTCTAATGAATAAAGCTCGAACTTTCTTTCAGAAAAAAGGATAATTGGCTATTGGTGGCGGGAACAAATTGGACGTACGTGTCCGTCACTGGTAACCTGCCACTCGTAACAGGTTATCATGGCAAACGTCCATCCGTTGTAAGCAATCCAGTTAATAGTGACGGGCAGTTATGTGGTAAGCAATCCAAACTAGTATATGCTTATCTAGATTGTAATCAGTATGTCGTTAATGCTGTCAATGCCATGTTCATGATCATTTTCTGGATTAAATTAATAAAAAATTGCCTATTTACTCAACATGTGCTATGATCATGATAATTATTGGTCCATAGTTTTTTTTCGTGGGGCACATATGTGTGATAATGGGGAATTCATAAAATTTATACATAAATTATGAAGTTGACCTTACGAGTAAACAATAAAACTCTCCGCAAAAAAAGAAAAAGAATAAAACTATCCACAAAGTTATATTATCTCTAGATGTCCTCCCGTTTTATGTCTACTGGTTGCAATGTATATATTCAAACAAATTACTAACCTAATATTATATTCACCTGACAGAAGTATTGTAGACAATAATCTTTGTTTGATAGCCAGAATAAGTAGTCTACAGAATTTTCTCCATCAACGCATATCTTCGATAAATGCGGAATTCATGAATATCAAATTGATACCACATACATCGGGTCTCTATTACAAAACACAACAACATGAGCGAACCAAAGCGCATATAATCTATACTTCATATATAAGTTCCGTGCACTCAGGTATATTGCCAAAATTCTTTCAAGTTTTTTTTTGAAATTATTCTTCCAAGTATTGAAAAAAATACATATGCCATTACACTCATATGCTTTTTGGAGTCCTTGAAATGGAATATACCACAATGGCCAATGCTAGAGAGAATAATATAAGTAACAACTGTTATGTTTTATGTATGATGAAAAGACTCTATGACTCTATGACTTGATTGCTAGAGTAGTGTTTTTGAAAGTGAGGATAGTTCACATTACTACATTTTAGAGCTCCATCCATTTCAAAATGTACAATGTATGTTGATTTCTTAATACAAACATTTAGCCAATAATTACGCTGTCCATGTGATAGAAAACCGCAATTGTTAGTATGTGCCTTTGAATACAAACATAGAAAACTGCAATCCATGTGAAACCGCAAAAATATATGTTATATGCCCTCTAGAACTATGTGTTTGAAAACTGTATTCTAATACGTATCCAGTGATACGCTTTTGATGGTATATAACACATATTCGTTAGTCAAATTGAGGACCCATAGCCCACACCGATCCTATAAACCCGACTAGGACCTATAGCTCACACTGATCCTATAAACCCGACCAGAAGGAGTATTAACTATTATCCAAAGCGGGATTTATAAATCTTAGTCGATTGAGATTTAACGAAGTCTCAGGCAATGCTATATTTATGAGATCTTACATGAAAATTTGTGTAAAACTTTCTTCTATTTTTTTTCTTTCTCCCTTTTTATATGTTATGGCACTTGAAAAGTCCTTTTCTTCCGTTTCATTCAACTTTCAAAAACTTCCAAATTCCACTCGATTCCATACAATTAATCAAACAACAATCAACAAACAATCACAACTACTTATTTAATATAACATTCCAAAATTTAGAATTTTGGGATTCCAAAATAAATCTCGCCCTCGAGATTCGGAGAGGCTAGAAAGA